AAAATTAAATTTAAATCTATATAAACAGAAGTTGTTATATCGATATATATCAATATATATATAATTAAAGAAAAGTGAGCACAGAGGAGTATTGAAAACGACACTTTTTACAATGTTACTCTTACCCGTGAATTCGCATCTTCGTTGAAGATGTCACCAGCAAGAAACCTGTAAGTAAAACAATAACTATTGGTAGAAAATATAAATTCTTCTTAAACTCAAACTCTATGCACCGTTATTGTGTTTCAATCTATATATATATTTAAAAAGAAAATAAAATTTTTCACTTAGCTGGATAGTTGGTGTTTGCTGCAGTCACCTCCAGAGCTGTGCCCTGTTGCACCAACACTTTTCACTTTGCACTTTGCAAACGTTTAGGAGTCTTTGACCATTTTTCTCTCATTGAGAACACAAAGAATTAATTTGAGAATTGAGTTATGCAAAGTACTTTTCAATGAAAAGTAAAGTATGAAAAGAAAAGTGAAATATTTGACAAAAAACTGGTTTCTTTGCACTTTCTGTTGCACCAATACTTTTTACTTTGCGCTTTGCGCTTTGCAAAAGTAAACTGCAAAACTTTACAAAAAAATTGCAAATGATTAATTCACCCTGCAAATTTTGCAAATGATTGCTTTACACAAAAGAAAAGTTTCTTATGTATATTAATAAAAGACAAAATGCGTAAAATGAAAGAAATCATTAATAAATAAATAAAAATAGTTTTAAAAAAATAGAAATAGAAAATTAGTTTAAGCAAATATTATTGCTGTTTTTGAAATAAATTTAGTTGCAATAATTAAAGGGATATATTACCGGGCAATACTTTTAAATTGTGAATTAAAGAGTTCAGTTTCTAAAAAAAACTTTATATTACATTTAATATAAATATTTTATGTGAATTATTATTATTATTATTTATTGATTCAAAAAAAATTCATACAGCACTTACAAAAATTATAGAATTTTACTTAAAATCTAAATTGACAATAACATATTTGTTGTGTGTCAGATTGGCATACAAAAGAAGGTGCATAATATTAACATTATTATTTATATAAATTCTTCAATAAATAATTTTCTGTAACTCAAAACACTTTTCATAAAATTATACAGTTTATAAATATTGCTACCGTTTAATAAGATTTTCACTTCTTCTTCAGACAGAAGTGCTTTATCAAAAAAACTACGCCTATGTTCTCTGAAAATTGGACATACACCAATAATATGACATATATTTTCTATTTCATGACGATTACATATAGAACAATCACGATCAGATGTATTAAACTCTCTACCGTTCAGATTAAAAAGACCGCCTCTACATTTAATAAATAGGCTCGATATGTGCTGAGTGTTTTCGAAATAAAAATTATGCATAATATCATATTGTAGCTGTGGGTACATGTCATAAGATCCCGACCTAGCATTCGTTACAAAAGAATCGTGTTCCCTCCGTTCATATAAAGTTATAATATTTTTGTGCAATAATTTAAGGTCCATTCTTCTAAAACTGGTTATTTGAACACCCAGTTCTAAACACATATTTTCCCAATCTTTGGCCCAATATATACCTTTACTAATTATAAGTTCCGCTAATATTCGAGGAAGCCTTGTGGGGGGGAGATTAAGAATTTTTCTTACATATGCGAAATGTATTTGTATTGTGTCTAAGAACTGCGTCGGTAAACCCGTTTCTAAGTGGAGCATATAGTTGGGGGTGTTAGTGGGTAGAAATAGTATCTTTTTTATAAAAAATCTTTTTTATAAAGTACAATCGAAAGTGCTGCCGTATAGAAAATTTTCAATTTATTTTTAAAAGTTATTTTAGGATTAGACAAATACTTTGCCCATGTCGAGTTAATTGCACTTTTACCTAAGGAGAGTTTAGAAGTCAAATGTTTGTTGTAGGAAAGGTTATACGTAAATAATATTTCGAGATATTTATATTCATTGACAATTTCTACTTGTCTTTCCCCAAATTTCCACGACAACGAATTACTTACTCTAGAACCTTTTCTGAAAATCATTATCTTAGATTTATCTAGATTCGCGATAAGACCCCATTGTGAACAAAATCTAAATAAATCATCTATCGTAATTTGCAATACATCAGGTGAATCCGCAAGTAGAACCACATCGTCAGCATATAAAAGCACTTTTATATTAGTTGAGTTAATAGGTACTCCACCCGTTAAAAAGTCAGGCAGATCATTTAAGTATAGGGAGAACAAAATCGGGCTGAGGAGACATCCTTGTTTTACACCTTGAGTAACTTTAAATGAAGAAGATATAAGATTACCGTCCCTTACGCAACTGCTGGTGTTCGAGTATAATTTCATCAGTGTGCTCAAAAACTTATGAGACAAACCTAAAGAAGCTAATTTGAAAAATAAGGCATTCCTGGGTATAGTGTCAAATGCACATGAAAAATCCACAAAAAAGGCATATGTATAATAGAGGTTAGATTAAAAATATTATCAACAGTTGAGTAAGATCTCCGGAATCCAGCTTGGTATTCATTTAATATATTATTGAGCTCAACTCAGCTATTCATACGCGAAAGTAGTATACCAGTAAATATTTTATATATAGAGTCCAGCAATGATAATCCACGATATTTAGTAACTATATTGGGATCTCCTTTTTTAAACATGGGTTGAACCATCGATTTTAAAAACGAAGAATCATACCTTCTTCGTGAAGAACCGTGAAGAAATATATAATTATATAGCGTAAGTAACTCGTTAAGAAAACCAACAGGAGCATTTTTGTAGAACTCATAAGGAATACTGTCGTTACCTGAAGCTTTGTTAGATTTGGTGTTTGCAAGCACAAGCTGGAGTTCACGAAATTCAAAAGGAGAATCATGAAAAGGATTGAGAAAAGGCGGAAGACACCAAGAGATAACTGGAAGGTCGGAATTCCATGTAAGCAGGGACTCATAGTGAATACGAAAGTCTTTACATTGTAAAGAATTAGCTACTTTGAGAGGACTGTTTTTCAAATTTTTTGCTAGATTCCACCAGTCAGAAGCATATTTAACAGTATTAAGTGCTTCAATATTTTTTAATTGCCATTGAAGTTTTTTATTACGGCAGAGGTATGCATATCGAGATCTGAGTACAAAGTAAGAAGTACGATGGGTATCCAGATTGTATTTTCGAACTAAATTAAGAAAATGAAACATATTTTTTCTAAGTTCATGACACTGGCTATCAAACCATTCATTTTTTGGGTCAAAACGCTTTTTCAAAGTCTGGTTTCCCCACGCATCGCGAACTTTTTCAAGGAACATATCCAATTTAACATCAATCTGCACGTTAGAACTTATATAATCAGAGCAAGTAGTCATTTCTAGCCGTTCTCTGTATCTACCTGAACAATAATATGAATTATTGTTCAAGCATAAACACTTATTTGTTATAATGAACAGTTTATTATTATTATAAGTCTGTTATCGTTCAGATTCTCCGAATTATGAACTAAATAAAAACATGGGTAAAAAATATCCTATAATAGCTAACATTGTAACATTTTTAAATATCTAATTATCCGTATCTAATTATGATAATAAAAATATATTTCTAAAGACAATAGAAGAAAAAATCACAAGTGCCTGGACTTCCGTCGTTTTTTGAACCTTGTTTGAAATGTAATTAAAAATAATACAGTCCACTAAAATTAGTAAAATTAGTTAAGTTAGTTTTAAGGTAATTTTGTATAAATTGAGAGAAATGTTTTAAATAAAATCAATAATTTAGGCCCTTTATGCGTAGATTTCTTTTGTATTACGATAATACACAGCGACAAGTAAACAATACTTTAATAACTTATAATATTTTAAAATTAAATAATAATGACAGATATTCAACTAAATTTTTATATAAAAGCACCTTATTATATTTGTTAACTTTGTTTTTCAATATAATTGTTGCTAAAACAACTCATACTCATACTATTTACATTTAAATTCTTTTTCTATAACTTTTCAAACAGCAAAATAAATTAAAAGCATAAAAATGCTTTTAATGGATATACACAATATATATGGATATACACAACTTCTTTATCTACGATTCAATGTCAATATAAGAAATCATATACAAAAATGTTGTGTTTTGTATTAATGTATAACATATAATTGTACTAAAATTATACAAATATTAGAAATTATAATATAAAATTTATTAAAATAAAATATTATTTTAAAAACTTTTATTTTAAACAAAAATTAAACTCATAAGTACATACTATGCATAAATCATGTACTCATAGCATCAAAATATCAAACAAAAAAAAAATATACAAACAGAAACGAAACGCTTTCAAACACCAATACAAAATGAAAGCGATCTAATTTTTTGGTGTAACGCTTTACTTTGCATTTTATGCAAAAACTCTGCAATAAAATCTTTATCTGCAAAGTGCAAAATAAATCATCTTAAAAGAGTTCAATTTGTGTGTCAACTGCCTCAGTGTTCTAAAAGACATAACACTTTGATACATAATCCAAAGGGGAATTAATATACAAAAGGTACTGCTCTTCAAGGAAGTAACTCAATGCCTCAACAACCAGTTTATGCTTCAGTTTCAAACCAATCATCAAATAAAATAACCCTTTTAACAAACAATACCAATAAGGAATCTAATTATGTCTTATTAAGGACGGCCAGAATAAGATTGCTGGCATCAAACGGAAGACAAATTGAATGCAGAGCAGTATTGGACTCTGGCTCTCAAATCAATCTCATAACAAACCGCCTGTCAAAAAAACTGGGCTGCAAGCCTAAGTCAATGCTTATGAATATGGAAGGCGTAGGAGTAAAATAAACGTTGAACGAATTTGTAGCAGAGATGGATGCACATATCATACCAATAATCGTTTCAGATCAGCCAATGCATTATTTGAATATCGAATCCTGGGATTCGAGATTTTAATAAACCTGGCCGAATCGACTGCTTGTTAGGAGCAGATATCTTTTTCAAGTTACTTATTGAAGGTCAAATAAAACTAGCAGGTAATCTTCCAACACTTCAGAATTCTATTTTTGGATGGGTTGTAGCTAGCAATGTTGAAACTTCAAATTCAAGCACGGTGACTTGTGGTATATGCACTACTAAGGACCTAGAAGAATCTATATTGAAATTCTGGGAATCAGAGGAAATTCCAGATTCAACTTCGGAACTCACAGAAGACGAATTGCGTTGTGAGTCACATTTTTTGCAACACACTTTTCGAGGAAGTGATAGCAGATTTGTTGTGAAACTCCCACTAAAGAATCATACCTCAGTGTTACCAGATACAAAAGGAATCGCTTACGAAAGGTTCAAGACAATCGAGCGCCGTTTCATTCAAAATCCTGATCTAAAGAATCAATATGTTTCATTTATGAGGGAATATGAAGCATTGGGACGCATGACAAAATTCAGCGGTAGCGAAATAATATCTCCCCAATATTTCATCCCGCACCACTGTGTGCTACGTCCAGACAGCTCAACATCAAAACTGCGAGTTGTATTTGACGTATCAGTACACAAACTATCAGGGTCGTTATTAAATGACATAATAATTAATGGTCCAAAAGTTCAAGACGAACTGTTTTCGATTTTGCTGAGATTTAGAATGCACAAATATGTTTTAAAAACTGAAGAAATGTACCGTCAGATATGGGTTAACAAGGATGATCGAAATCTGCAACCCATCATGTGGCGAGAAAGTCCCACAGAACTACTTAATTATTATCAATTGAACACAGTCACTTATGGCACACGAGCAGCGGTATATTTAGCAACACGCTGTTTAACAAAATTGGCTGATGAATATTAAGGAAATTATTCATATGGCACCACATCTTTGAAAAGGGACTTTTATGTTGCGACGGTCTCATAGGAGCTGATACTATCAACTAAGCGTTACTAATTCAACAACAGTTAATAACAATTCTAGGCAAGGCCGGAATGAAACTAAAAAAATGGTGTGCAAACAACCCAAAACTTTTACATGAAATCGCTCCAGAAGATCTAGAAGTAATCTCAATTTTGACTCCAAGGAAACCCAATTCACAAAGACGTTGGGTCTTTTGTGGTCACCAAATTCAGATTTATTTCGTATCAAGGTTAACATTCGAAAGCATAGTCACACAACAAAAAGATCTATGAGCTCCGATTTAGCACACATATATGACCCTTTGGGTATTATTGGTCCAATCTTGGTCACCGGAAAAATCTTGTTGCAAGGAGCATGGCAGTTAAAACTCGATTGGGATGATGATCTTCCGTCAGACACTCAAACAATAAAGGGGGTATTTAAAATATCGGTGCACAGATTAGCTCCATTATTTCCTGAAGACGATAACTTAGAAGATCCGACCTTTGGAAAAATGACAGAAAGAAAAGTCGTGTCGCTTAACGACAGGAAGCATTTCAATTAACTTTAGTGGGCAGTGGTTTGATTAAATTAGAACCTGAATGCATCATCAGAAATGAACAAATTACGATTCAAGGTCGTCAAAAAATGGTTACTTCAATGAAGGTATCAATCACAAGGTTTAATCTATCTGTAAAATGGACAAAACAATATTCCAGCAATAACATCCGCGTCAAACCATTGTCACCCTCAATCCATGAGCTTGAACTTATTCAACAAAAAATAGCCCACATCTAGAGTTCCAGTCTTCCAACTGATGCTATTAGTCCAGGTACATATAGCCTAATAACCAGCTACATTGCATTAATATTGTTTCCTTATTTCACCATTGCAATAACATATATATGGCGAAGCCAAAAAATCACCTATCAAACACCTCCAACACCGATGCCATGACAATACAGATGACCGAGCATGTTGACTTGCAGCTTCCGAATAATTAGAATTGATGTTGTCAATTCAAGCATGTTATAATTTGTTTATTATAAATATATTCATACGCATCTATATGTATGTGGGACGCAGATCTGGCAACGCCAGCACACGAGCATAAGGAAGTAAAAAAGAAGAAACAAACGTAGTGCGGCAGTGCAGAAAGAAGACGTGTGAAGTAATGACGTGTGTGCGGAAGAACAAACAGTTTTTTTTCATTTATATATATTTTTTTTGTAATTTAATTAATTAGTTTTGATTCTAATAAAAAGGAATCCTACAAATTGGGGGCTCAACAGGGATTTGAATTTCCGGCAATTGTGAAATTCAGTCTACACAATGACTTGCTTAAATGACTTCGTAAGCAGCAGCCTGCGCAGTAGCAGCAAAAACATAATAATAGCGTTGCATAAATTTATATACCAAGAAGAAGGTGATAGAAATAATCGAAAGAGATTGAGAGAATTTTCTGGATTCGATTACGACGAAAATGACAAGGCGTATGCAAGCAAATGCGAATATATTAAAAATAATTTGACTGAACGTGATTTGGTTTCAATTTGTATTGTACTAAATATAAGTTATTGTGTTAAAGATGTACAACTGCACATATTTCGAAATCTACGTAAAAATTTTTTGTTGTCCGAAAACGCAAACGACGATGAATGTAATGACGAAGAAGGAGATGAAGAAGTCGATGATGATGATGACGAAGAAGGAGATGAAGAAGTCGATGATGACGTTGACAGTAAACGCACTTTCAGAGGCAATGAACGCGAGTTTAAAAAATCTCGTGACGATAATGGCAATAAAATGTTTGAAGTGGATGATAATAATAAAGCAGCAGCGTACACACGTACAAAATTTTTACAAAGAGAAGCACCAAAATTTGCAATGAACTTTCGCGATATAGAGGACTCAATTAGACCATTTGATGGCACAAATATCATTTCGGTAGAAAGGTGGATTGAAGAATTCGAGGAACAAGCTGCACTGATGTGTTGGGATGGGTTTCAAAAACTAGTGTTTGCAAAAAAATCTCTTAGAGGCATTGCTAAACTTTTTATTTTGAGTGAAAGAGGTTTAAATTCGTGGTGTGCTTTAAAACACGCCCTGTTAAATGAGTTTCGAACAACAACAAATAGCGCACAATTGCATAAGCAACTTAGTGCTCGCAAAATAAAAAAAGATGAAAATGTGTTTGAATATTTTTATCAAATGAAAGATATCGCATCTCGCGGCAATATCGAAGACGAAGCGCTGATTCAGTATATAATAGATGGAATTAGAGACGGTTATGTAAATAAAATGATACTATATGGTGCAAAGAACCTTAATGAATTTAAAGACAAATTAAGATCATATGAAACAATGTGTGAAAAAAGTAAGCAAGTTAACGATTTTAAACAAAGCGAAAAGAAAAGTTTCTCAACAAATAAAACAGAAGTGAAATGCTACAATTGTGGTGAAAAGGGACATTTGTCCATGAATTGCAAAAATAAAAATCGAGGTACTAAATGCTTTAAGTGCAACCAGTACGGACATATTTCTAAAAACTGTGAACAAGCCGAAAACAAAATAAATACGCGCAGTTTACAGCAAAAAAACAATTTAACTACCAAATCCATTTTTATTGGCAATTTACAGTGCGCAGCCCTATTCGATACAGGCAGTAAATTTAATATAATTCGCGAAGACTTATACAACAAGTTGAATAAGCCTATCTTAGAAAAATGTAACGTATGTTTAATTGGTTTCGGTAGTGATCGCAATTCAAATAGGATTAAACCGATTGGACATTTTAAAAACTTAATTAAAATTGACGATAATGAGTTCATATTAGATTTTTATGTCGTTCCAATTCGGTGCATGGACTTACAAGTGATCATTGGCGAAGAACTATGCTTATACGCTGAAATTTTATTTAATCGTGATGGTATAAACGTTCGTAAAATCCTCGACGAAGACGATCCCATAGACGAAGAAGCTAAAATAATGAAAATTGACTTAGTAAATGACAACAAAACGATTGATATCGACAAAACCGCTAGTGAGAATGCGAGACGACAGGTACGTGAAATGATCATAAATTATCAGCCGAATCAATGTAAAACAACACAAGTGGCGATGTACATAGTGCTCAAAGACGAAACACCCATTTATTCTAGGCCGCGTAGATTACCGTTCACGGAGAGGTGCATTGTGGATGAGCAAGTGGAACAGTGGTTGAAAAATGGTGTAATTGAACGATCGGAGTCAGAATTCAGTAGCCCAGTTGTATTGATAAAAAAACGCGACGGTACACCACGCTTGTGTATTGACTTTAGAAGAATTAATAAAGTATTGGTGAAAGACCGTTTTCCGTTGCCACTAATAGAAGACCAACTCGATCGGCTACAAAGTGGTAAGGTGTTCAGTACAATTGACTTAAAGAATGGATTTTTCCATGTGCCCGTGGCAGAATTATGTCGTAAATACACGTCATTTGTTACACATAATGGACAATATCAATTCTGTAGAGTGCCATTTGGATTGTCGAACTCACCAGGTGTTTTTCAAAGACATATAAACGCGATATTTCGTGAATTAACTAATGAAGGTATAGCTTTACCATACGTTGATGATATCATTATACCCGCAGCAAATGAAGAACAAGCCGTACAAAACCTAAAAGTTGTATTACAGCGGTGTGCAGACTTTGGACTTGAATTGAATTTTAAAAAATGCAAGTTTCTAATGAGAAAAGTGGAATTTCTAGGGCACACAATACAAGATCAAAAAATATCACCGTCAGAAGTTAAGGTTGAAGCTCTACGCAAATACAAATTGCCGCAAACATTAAAACAATTGGAAAGTTTTCTTGGGTTGGCGAGTTATTTTAGAAAATTCATACCTAAATTCTCGCTAATTGCCAAGCCTTTAACAGATTTAAGGAAACACAATGTGAAATTTGAAATAAAAGATGAACAGATTACTGCATTTAATACGTTGAAGACCATCTTAAGCGAAAAACCGGTACTAAACATTTTTAATCAAAAATCTGAAACGGAAGTGCATACAGATGCTTCGATAGAAGGATATGGAGCCGTTTTATTGCAAAAATCACCAGACGACGAACAATGGCATCCTGTGTATTATATGAGTAAAAAAACCACTGACGCACAAAGAAAATATACAAGTTACGAACTAGAAATATTGGCTGTTATTGAAGCTTTCAAAAAGTTTAGAGTATACATTTCTGGGTATGCATTTTAAGCTCGTTACTGATTGTAACGCATTTGCGATGACATTGGGAAAGAAAGACTTGTGCACGAGAGTAGCCCGTTGGATATTGTTCTTAGAGGAGTACGATTACGAAGTTCAGCATCGTGTTGGTTCGCGAATGAAGCATGTTGATGCTTTAAGCCGCTACGCCGTTATGTGCATAGATGAAGATAATATTCTTTCTAAAATACGGAGAGCACAGATGCAAGACAAAAACCTGAAAACGATATCGGATATTCTACAAGAAAAATCTTCATACAACGATTATTTTAAGAAAGGAGAGTTGTTGTATAAGCTGAGAAATGACCAAGAACTTATTGTTGTACCTAAGAGTATGCAGCGTGAAATAATTAGACATGCACATGAAAAGGGACATTTTGCCGTAAAAAAAACAAGTGAACTACTCCGAAATGACTATTTTATACCTCAATTGGAAGAAAAAATACAAAAACACATTATGAATTGTATTCCATGTATCGTTGTGAATCGGAAGCAGGGTAAGCAAGAAGGCGAACTACACTCATTGATTAAAGAAAGTATACCATTACACACGTACCATGTTGATTTTTTGGGACCATTAGAATCAACGAACAAACAATATAAGCATATCTTTGTCGTTATTGACTCTTTTACTAAATTCTGTTGGATATATCCAACTCGAACCACATCAGCTAACGAGGCTATATCCCGATTGCGTACGCAAAGCATAGTTTTTGGTAATCCTAATCAAATAATATCAGACCGAGGTGCTGCTTTCTCTTCAGATGATTTTCGTAAGTATTGCGAGGGTGAAAGTATTAAACACATCAAAATTACTACGGGCTTAGCCAGGGCCAACGGACAAGTCGAAAGATTGAATAGCATAATTGCACCAGTTTTGGCAAAATTAAGCATGGCAGATCCAACTAAATGGTATAAAAATGTTGACAAAGTGCAGCAGATAATAAACTCCACGTATTGCAGAAGTACTGGAACGACGCCTTTTGAATTATTAATTGGTGCTAAAATGCAAACAAAGGAAGATATTCAGATCAAAAAAATTATCGAAGAGGAAATTACAACGATTTTTAATGAAGACCGAGAAGAAACGAGGCAACGCGCAAAGCAACAAATACTGAAAATCCAGTTAGAAAATAAGAATGCATATAACCAAAGACGCAGGCTAGCCGTAAAGTACAAAGTAGGCGACGTAGTCGCAATCAAAAGGACGCAGTTTTCGGGAGGACTGAAGCTAAAACCAAAATACTTAGGACCTTACGAGGTCGAGAGAGTTAAATCAAACGATACGTATGATGTTATAAAAATCGGAAAAAGCGAAGGGTCAAAGCGGACTAGCAGTTGCGCAGAGTATATGAAGCCTTGGGCAGTTGCTGACAATGACACTTCATTCGGGTCGAACGAATCGCAGGATGGCCGATTGTGGGACGCAGATCTGGCAACGCCAGCACACGAGCATAAGGAAGTAAAAAAGAAGAAACAAACGTAGTGTGGCAGTGCAGAAAGAAGACGTGTGAAGTAATGACGTGTGTGCGGAAGAACAAACAGTTTTTTTCATTTATATATATTTTTTTGTAATTTAATTAATTAGTTTTGATTCTAATAAAAAGGAATCCTACATATATATAAACTTTAAAATAGAAACCATAAAGTATATTGAAAAAATTGATTATTTAAGGCACCGTTTTATCATAACCTTAGTCCTGATATGATATAGTTTTAACACAATAACGACATTCGAGAATACGAAGAACGAAAAAGGACTCAAGTCCTTTACTTCAGTAGTGCCATTTGTTGAACGGTGCGCTGTGCCAACGTTCCACAATATATATATCTAGTCCTGTTGTCAGAAGAAAAGTATACGAAATATCTTTTTATTCTGAGTTTAAAAATAAATAACTTCATTCAAAATCAATTTTGTACTGTTAAACAGAGTGTGAAAATATAAGTTCGGGTTTGGGAAGCAGCAACGATAATCACTTTATCTCAGTGCCACACGTTGAGATACTACAATACATTATGTAAGATTTACTTATGTTTATGTCCAGCGCTCTGTGTCTTTTAAATTTAAAACTGTGTCTTTGCTATTTTCAAAATCAAATCTCTTGATCTTAATTTACAGATACTAGAGTTTCTCCAGAAGCAAAAATCATAAAATACATTGATATGTATGCAACGACGATAACACCTTCAAGGTGAAACGTGCTTTAGAGTTTAATTACATACCAAGTGACAACAGATACAACAAATTTTAAAGATTTGCAGTTTTATGCGAAACTTAATTCACAATAAATTCAAAGCAAACATCTTCGAGTGTCTCATAAACAACGTAAAACTTAACCAATGATATAATACAGATACCACTTCATAGTTGAAGATAATGAACCGGAAACTGTCACTTAAAATTGAAGTAGTCATAATTGTTAGTTTTTAAGTCCTCAAGTAAGTAATATTAATAAAATATAATTTCAAACACTTTTTATAATTATTTTATTTAACGTTCAATTATAACAAAAAATAAAAGAATGGAAAACCATTTAGCAGTGATTAATTACTGCAGTTAGTGATATTATTGTAGCAGGACATTAGCATATTTTGCAAATATATATAATCATCGGGTCCAAAAGTTCCACAACAGTCCAACTAGTAAAAATGAAAAAAATATTGGCGTTTAGAAAATTTTCGCGACTCATTAATAAATGTACTTAATATATATTGTTATTGCTAGAAATATATTAAAAAAATAATACGTGTTGTAAAAGCAATGCCTAACGCCTTAAAGAAGATCTTAAGAAGGCGTTAGGCATTAGTTCAACAACCTGGTAGAAATAATTTATATTTATATAGTTTGCCTGTTCTGCTGTTTAAGAAATAAATTTTTAAGTTTAACATATCCTGTACAGCCTGATGAACTATTTTTGTTTACAAAAACTATTATAAATAATGTAATAGAGTGATTCATGTTTTTTGAAAGAACTTCTCTGCTATATATATTCATTTGATCAAACAATAACCTTAATTTTTCAAATTCAATATAAATCTAAGCCAGCATCATTAATTTATCCCAATTCTCAGTTATAGAAGATTTGAATACACTATAAAGACTAACAACTGTTTCTTGAATGCAATTAAAGGCCTCTATCTAAACAATAATTAAAAATATTGGTATGTAAAAAAATGAATTTATTAAGGTTATTATGAAATATAAGTTTTATGAGTTATAATAGCTACGCTCTTCAGCAAGCCTATAATCAATCATATATATGTATCCTTGTATACATGTACTTTTAGTTTATAAGAATAGTTTCTTAGTTCTATAACAATAGCATAGGTTCTTATAAGTTAAGTCAGACATAAATGTTGGTAGCTTCTCACTATTGTATTTCTTTTTGTATGGTAATGATAAGTGTTGTATTGCACCAAGTTACGGTTGGTTCTTAATTTTAGCCCGGATAACGTAATACCATGTAAAACAACAACACGTTTATTATACAACAGTTGTAGTATTTCTATATTCGTGTTATAATGAATCATGTTAGCCAAACAAAGTTCGTGAGAGCGTTTAGAAATTTTAACAGGTGGAGGTTGTTAGTCTACTGTAGTAGTTTTAAGGATAATTGATTCAGTAGCAGGATATAATCACTAATATAATCACCATAGATATACAATAAATTGAAAATAAATAAAATCTTACACTTCTCTGTATGATATTCATAGCCAATTTCCAAGTCACAATTTCGTTAGAATATTCTGTGTCGAAATTTTCCATATTTACATCACGTCTCCTGAGGGAATCATTAAAAGTCCATAAACCAACACAAACGGCTACATCGACCACTAAGGAGAAAATAAATTGCACGATCTATAATGAAAGAAAACGAATTAAAATTTAAGTCAAAATTGATTTCTGACAATCTTACAAAGTGGCAATTATATCTCCTATATTTGAAAATACACATGAAGGCAGCAAACGTTATAACGACATAGGCCCAGACAAAATATGTCAACATAAGCGGAAGATTGTCAAATTCTATAGTCTCAAACATTTTTCACAGAGTTCTAATGATATTAAGAATATCGAATAATTTTTCGTTGTCACGATCTAACAAAATTAATCACAAAATAAAATATTGAGCAAAATAGTTTATAAATTCGATTTGACTCAAAAAATGTTGATATAAAATATTTTTTTTGTTTTTTTCAAATAATAGAATTTATATATTTGTCTATGGTAGTGTGTGAAGAAAATTTTTTCCAACGATATTTAACAAATTTTTTAAAAATCATTTTAGAAATTATAAAAATTTCCTTGTGTAAATGGTTTAAGACAACTCCGAGTTATACTATAAGCCAGTTTCTGGACCTTTATATTCTCCAGCTAATGTTTTTTTTTAATAACTTTTGTTTTGGATTTTAATTTCTATATCTTGTAATAAATAAAGCTTTTATTTTTGTGATATTCACTCTAATTCTCTCCCTTCTTAATTTAATTTTCGACAAGACCCCCACTTTAATTTTTATATTAATGAGAAGTCTTTTTGGACTTTGATCAATAACTATTTATTTGATAAAAAGTAAGCTAAAAGTTTTATTATTTCAACGATCTTACGAGGGTCACTATTTTTATTTTGAGTCTAATAATGAAAAGATACTAACTTGTCGTTGAAAATTGCTTTATTGTTTCTCAAAGTATTCTCTTTTATGATTAATACACTTTTGCATACATTCGAACAATTTGTCGAAGCATTTTTTCCAATCTTCTTTAGACACCTCAAAAACATGGTTTTTAAATGCAACATCGTAGTTGCTTCCACCGACAAAAATCGTTGCCCGCGCAATATATTCCTAACGTTCGGGAATAAGAATGTCGTCAGAAGTTATTGGGTGCAAAATCTAAATCAGGACTGTACGGCGGATAACTCAACCGTTTCGATTCGATTTTTTGAGTGTTTAAATAGTCGAAAAGGTTGTCAGACGAGATGTGTGAGCACTTGCATTGTATTGATGGAAATGATGAATGATCCGACAGCGTTTGTTTGTTTTCCGTATTTCACTGAAAACTTCCGTTAAACAAATGGTTGTATATCTTGCGGAATTGACCGTTTTACATTCCTGTAATGGTATCCGTTTTCCCGAAAAAACAAGCGACCATTTATTTCGAAATGCTTTGTGCGCGAACAACTTTTGTTGGATTTAGTTCCTTTTAAAACACCCATATTGGTGGAGTCGACTGCTATTTACGTTTCGGTTCACACTTGAATTCTGTAATTACAATACAAACGAAAAAATTTTATTTTTCAAAAATATGCAAATATCACGATTTTTATAAAAAAAATTATATTTATTTAAATTAATCTGTAGGTTTGTAGTGATTAGGTGGAGTGCTTTTGAGAGATTATTTTTGTACTTCTAACCTTTAAACTTCTTTTGACTACTTCTACAAACAGTTTTTGGGTAGTTTTTTTCTATAAGTTTTATAAGTTGGTGACATGCAAATTAGCGGATATCGCTAATTCAATTCGTTTTCACCAATCTTACATTATACATTTATTTATTTTTTTACAATCTAGAACAGGGCTGTCAAAAGTACTTCCCGTGACATGTTTTTAATATACTACAATTACGCAAATTTTCTTTTGATGTACTGGTAGCATTACGTTATTTTATTTTTATGATATACCAAATAAATGAATTTGAATTGATAAATTAATAAAACCAAATTTAACATTATAACCGTATTTATAATGATATAATGTATTTATAATAACAACTATGAACGTACATATTTGTTCTGCGGCCTCCAAAACAATAATATAAATTGCTGATTAAATTATATTATCTTAACGTAACTACTAAATAATTACCGTTTACTTACTTAATTACTTACTTTCGTACTTACTTTCTTACTTACTTATTTTCTTACTGACTTGCTTACAAACTTATTTACATACTTACTTAATTACTTACTTACTTAGTTGGGCATTAGAGACATGAGTCGTCCTTGGCCGCTGTCGCGATCAGTCCTTCTTCAGTCAGCCTGATCAGTTGTTCACCATCATCAGTTTGTAGTACCGAGTGCCATCATATTGTTTGTTAGGTGGCCCCTTTTTTGCGAAAATGCGGATGTTCTCTAATCGGTCTCTTCACCGGCGAGTATCGAGTTAAACACTTTCGTAGTCGGATCACTTTCTTCCTTTCTCACGACATGACCAAGCCAGCAAAGCTGTTAAATAATTATTAAATAGTAGTAGATACTCACTAAATCCAAATGTATATACGATCATGTTTTTCTTAAAACAAAAAAAAGAAACAAAACCATTTACTTATCCAGAAAGCACTATGAAAATCAGATTTTGTTAATTAACTTAATAATAATTTTAATATAATATACATCCCTCTGAAGGATGTATTCATTTATTTAAGGGGTTTAATGGTTCGAATTAACCATCTATCAACTGGTTTTAGTTTGTAATAATCCAATCCAATCCAATGAGATCCAATCCAATCCATTATCATTTTGAATTTGTTATTAAAGCGGAACTTGGCCAAAAAGTGTTTGCAGCTAAGAAACCTGCCTTGTCATGCACTTTACTCTTTCGACCTTTATTGTTGTCATGGCTTTACCCAAATATTTTATTGCCAAAATGTAGTTTTGTCGCCGTTAATCAAAAACAATAAAGAAATAACAGCTCAATGCAATATTTTACATTTACAAAATTACTGACAACAACCGTAATCTCTGCTAATAAATATGGAAAAAATAGTAATGGTAACAAAAGCAGTAACAATGGAGATAACAACAACAACAACAATCACAACAACCATAATATAGCAAATGCAAAAACA